CTCTCTCTCTCTCTCTCGCTCTCTCTCTCGCTCTCTCTCTCGCCATCTTCCCCCCTCTCTCTTTCTCCTCCCTCTCTCTTTCTTTGGTTGATTTTTTTTTATCAGTAGGTGGTCGGACTGACTTAGGAACTTTCTGAAATATGAATTCTAATATAATGATGAATGAGTGACAAATATTTTGTATGAATGTATTTCCCTAAAAGAGAAGTGGCATTTACCCTGTTTTTTTTATCTTTGTCCATCAGGTGCTTTGATGTATCTCAATGAAGCCACTTTGCTACACAATATCAAGATTAGGTACATGAAGAATCAGATTTACGTAAGTGTTTTCCTTTGCAAGGTATACCAAATTGTCATTTAATGTTCTTTTCAAGGGCAAGTTTTAAGCTCTCACATCAAATCAATCAGGACTGGTTTTGTCATTTTCTTCCGTACTTGTTTTCTCCTTTTTTACTTTTACAATTCGGCCTATTTGTTCTCATGGTCATCTTTTTTACTTTCTCTTTTCCAAAGCACTTTTGTTATTGTTGTTTTGTCAAGTTTTGAAACCTTTATCATTTGAAATTGTTTTGTTGTGGTATTTACTGTCAAAGAAAAATACTGTATTCTACTGTCTCTTCACAATCTGCATCATTCTTGACCCAAAGAGCTGTTTACACATTGAAATTTTCTCTTTGTTTGCACCAATATCTTCTTACTATGTGAGATTGTGCTTTTCAGTACCCTGAGTTCTGTGTCTTGTCACCTCTAAAAAGTGGTCATGTTTTATTGATCTGCTTTTAAAAAAATACACTTGACTTTTTTGCTCAGGTAATTTTTGTGTATTGATTTGCCTGTTTTCTAACTTTCATCGTCCATTTTTCTTATTTTTCTGTTGTGGGTTGTTGGCGGGTGCTCTGGTGTGGTTTGCTCTTTTTTTCCTATCAAGCATCTATTGTCCATATCTGTTCTCCTTGTTTTTTGTTCTCCTTCTAATCTTCGGCACTTATATGACCTAATTGTGTTACAAGTGCTGTAAAACTCTTTCGAAAATCAAAACTAGAAAGTTTTATGTATGATGTTGATTTGCCTGTTTTCTAGCTGTTTTCATCGTCAAGTTTTCTTGATCTCATCCTCTGCTCACTTTTTTCATCACTACAATATTCTAAGTTTACCAGTGACCCCCCGCCCCTTTCTTTCCCCTGTTGCTCTCCTCAGACTTACACTGCCAACATTCTGATTGCTATCAACCCGTACTATGAGATCCCTGATCTCTACGCCTCGAGCACCATCAAAAAGTATCAGGGGAAGTCACTTGGCACTTTGCCACCTCATTGTTACGCCATCGGTGAGTTGACATATTATGTGCTGCTCGTTAGACAACTGCTTTTTCTGTGCTTCTTCCTTTACTGACGGTGGTAGGAGGGTGCCACTGGTAGGTCCTACTTCTTTTCTTTCCCTCTATTCCTTCTACCTGTCTTTCTTTTTCAAAGGACTAAATGACCATTTGTGTGTTGATGTGCTTCTCTTTACTCAAACAAACAAACAAACGCTCACTTTTTACTGTGATTGCTTACTTTAAATTGCTACAATGTCTGCGTCTTTTACTCCTTGTTGGGGTTGCTATTTTCCTTACCTGTTTCTTGGGAAATGAGGATGGTTGGAGGGTACCGCTGGTAAGTCCCTTTTTTTTTCTTTCACTCCGTTGCATCTGTCTGTCTTTCTTTTTTCCTTCCCTATACGATGGCTACTGTGTCAATGTGTTTCTCTTTTCTAGAAATAAACAAACTGGAGAAATGTGGTTCTTTTAGTACTGACTGGCCAAAATATTCAACACAGCTCAGTTCAGTTGTTGTTGCATGTGGTTAAATGGTACTTTACTGTTCTACTATTTCTTTTTTTTCTGTCTGTATATTTTGCCTTTTACCAGCACTACATGGACGTTACTGTGATGACGTGCTGCTCTTTAATACAAAACTTCTCATTTATGGCTTGTGCTGTCGATAAGACTGTTGTCTGGGATGTAATGGTTCGGCTCTTGGCAGTTGCTTGCAGAAAACATATGTTCAATTCTTGTGTAGGGAGATATTTGTTGTAGGTCTTCGTCTTTCACGTTGGAAGTTGTATTCTTTCCACCCCAGGTTGGTCCTGACAGGCAAGGTCAAACCAGATTTAAACTGTGTTGATGAGATGTAAAACATTTACAATTGCAATTTTTCCAGCTGATAAGGCGTACAGAGACATGAAGGTGACCAAGCTCAGCCAGTCCATCATTGTGAGTGGAGAGTCGGGGGCCGGGAAGACTGAGTCCACCAAGCATATCCTCAAGTACTTGACGGAGAGCTGGGGAACTCATGCCGGACCCATTGAGCAAAGGATTTTGGAGTGTAAGCCGTTGTTTCTATACTGTAACGTGTTTTCTATGGTCAGTAGTAGGCCTACTCATCTATTATTAATTTGTTATTTCTTTTTTTATTTATGATTTAGTGGGGTTATCAACTTGTACTGTATACCATATTGTAGCATAAAAATAGAATTTCATCAAGTCTACGTCAAAGTTTTAAAATTATAATTGCACTACTACTGTTGGGTTTTTCTGTCATCTTATCTTCATATGCATATGAACTTCCAGACAGATCTAGAGACTATGATTAAGTTGTAAATAGAATTTTGGGATTTTAGTTGTATTCTTGGGAACCTTTTGGTTTGTCCATTGTGGACAATGTAGTCTTGTAATAATGCAATTTGGGAAAAAACAAAACAACTAAAAACATATGCTAAAATAATACTGTTTGAAAGAGAAAAAGTCGACTCGCTACCAGTAGCTCTAATCTGAGTAGATACTCACTTTTTTAACCCAGTAATTATGTCTTTGATATTGATCTCCTTCATGTTCTTGTCTCCTGTAGCCAACCCTTTGCTGGAAGCTTTTGGCAATGCGAAGACTGTGAGGAACAACAACAGTAGCCGCTTTGGCAAGTTTGTGGAGATACACTTTGACAGCAAGGTCAGTCAAACCTTGTAATGCTAGGATTGTTTTGTATTATGTACATTTGCCCCCCCCCCCCCCCCCCCCCCCCGAAATAGGCTGAGGTAGAGCACGAAAAACTTACTTACAGAACTTTGACTGATGGGTGACATCAAAAGACCAAAATGATACAACTTTTATTGTGTAGAGTAGTCTTCTATTTGGAGTCTGCTGCTGATGGTTTTTACTTCTTTGCAGTCCCCTTGCTGTTTCCATCATATTCTCATGCTTGTAGGTTACTTAGCTCTAATTGACAGCAGTTCATATTGAAGTGCTTTTTCGTTTGATATCCTCAAATGAATCATACTTCCACTGTATCAATTGTTATGAATCTTCATTAAACACTGGGTGTTCTCGACAGAATTCGGTGTGTGGCGGGTTTATCTCCCATTATTTGCTGGAGAAGAGTAGAATCTGTACGCAGGCCCCACAGGAGCGTAACTACCACATCTTCTACCGCCTGTGTGCTGGCTCGCCCGAAGACTTGCGCAAAAAGCTCAAACTGGCGCCCCCAGATCATTTCCAGGTAACATTTCTGCCAGATAGCAGGAGTTTAATAAACTACACCTCTGAAATTGTGTTGATAGCGCTATAAAACATGTACTCAAATAAGACAAACATTCACCTCTGACAGACAGGAGGCTAATGGCCTTCATCTCTGGCGGATGGGAGGTAAATGATCTTCACCCATGAGAGATGTATTAAATGATTCGCACCTTACAGAGCATTGTTGTACTGCGCAGTCAACTGGAGCACAATATGTTGTTAAGTGTTCATTTCTATTTGACATGGTTATTAGAACCCACATATTGGCTAGGACATATGCACATTCTGATTTGTAGGCAAAAACATGTATTCCAACACCCACATACACTCGCACACACAAACACAGGTGCAAACTTGCAAACACATTTGCACACCTTCACGAACACACATACATACACACATACATACTTTCACACTCTTACACACTCACAAACACACACACACACACTCACACACACACACTCACACACACACAAACAAACACACACACACACATCCACACACACACACACACACACATACACACACATGTGCTTACATAAAAGGTGAGTGTAAATCAAATGACACAATAACTCTGATGAGTGATTTGGGCAAATATTGCAGGTACGTTTTAAAAGAAACAAGAGTTTAAAAGAATGATCATGATTCTCCTTTTCTTTTGTTAGGTATATGTATCAATTTTGCAGTGTTCTGAGCAATTGTATCAAACTCTAACTCAAGATACAACTCTTGAACCTTTTAGAGAATCTCTGTAATCATTTTGAAATGTTTGCATGCTGCTATTTCTCCTGTTGGACGTTTTTCAAAAGTGTTGATTATATTTTAATTATTATTTGAAAGAAAGAAGAAGTGAAAGATATAACACATTAGTGAAGAAAGCATTATTTTATTTTGTTTTATTCTCTATTTACTTTTTTTTCCAACCGTGAAATAACTTATATAATTTACTTTGAATTTCAATTAGTTCTTCTTATTTTCCATTATTTTTTGTGTCTTTTCCTCTGTTTATGTGAGAATTTTATGTTTTTATAAACTCTCACTTCCACTGTTTCTGTTTTCTTTGTTATTTTATTTCTGTTAATGTAAAAACATCACAACTGCTCCTGTGTTCAGCTTGGTTCCCGTGTAGATTTTGTTTTAGTTTGATTTCCTTTTGTTTGTTGTGCTTTGTATCCCTATGCTGTTGTCAGGACAGACAAAGGGAAAAAAATACTACCTTAGAAATGGGCAGCTTGAGGGGATGTTGCTTTAGTCACTTTCTTTACTGTCAGTTATAAATATGAAAAGCAGTATAGCGTAAGGAATGAATTTTTCTCCCCCATTAAATAGAAAGGTATTATCTTGTCAAAGCGAAATGTGTGTTACATAGTTCACCCATTATGTTTCTTTTATAGATGGAAGTGAATTGAAATGCTTTACATGTTTTAAAATTTAGTTTTAGATATGGTGCGGTATTGATACTGATTTTTGTCAGGATATTTTCAGCCTAACACTTTGAAGTAGGAGGTAACAATATTCTGCTTGGGGCTTTGTGACGTGGTATAATGAAGGAGCTTATGTTGTAAGACACAGTGCACTAGATGTCTACATGCAGGTCTGGAGGAGAGCCATGGCTTTGAAATTTAGATGAAAATTTCATTGTGAGAGATGCAAAAGGATTTATAGTGTAACATTTACTTTCCAAACTCCAGTACTTAAAGGTTGTACTTAGAAACGAAGCCCAGTGTCTAGTGAGTGAAAGGTTGACTTATTTTTTACAAGATGTAAGGAAACATTTTGCATACGTGCAACATTTGGAAACATTTTGTTTAAGTGCAACATCTTGTGCACGTAAAATATTTTCATAGCACAGTGACAATATTTGTCAGAGGCCATTCTCAAGCAGCATGGCTGTCCTCCAGAACGCCCCTGAGCAGTGTAAGTGACCTTTGCCCCTTGGGGTGATGAGTGTTCTTCAATGTTCTGCTTTGATGCTGTGTTAGCTGGGATGTTTCTTGTCTTGTGCTTGTAGTACTTGAAGCAAGGCAACACACAGTTCTTCTGCAACCGAAAATCTGAGAAGAGTTTGACTGACAACAGAAAAAGTCAGCAGGTTGGTCTTTTTTTTTCCCCCATAGTTTTAAGTGCTTAATTTAATTGGATAAGGAGGAAGATTTTCTTTTTCTCCTTCTCCGAGCACTTGTCTTGTTTATTTTTAGCATAATTTTACAGTTGCATCATGCATGCATGACGACTTCTACAAAAACTATGAAGGAGCAGTCAAGGTTTTGGGATGACACCCACCAATATACATGAAGGAGAGCTGCTCTTTATTTCTGTTGTATTTTTTGTATCCTGACACTATTTGGCCATGATCGTGTTAATGTGTCTTTTTATCCGTTGTCTGGTTCTTTCCTGCTTCTTTTGTCTCCTACAGAGATTTAACATATATCTCTCTCTATATATTTATTGTTTTGCTCTGTCATTCTAAATTTTCTGTCTTTGTCAGTGAAGTATTTCCCCTTCTCTTCTATCCTCTATCTCAGATTTGTCTGCATGCTGTACTGTAAATGCATGTGGCATGATCGTGGCTTTTGGTTTTAGCAAAAACATGTCATCAGATAGAACGTTTTAGTATAGAATTTTTACTGGATGGAGTTACCTCATGTTGAATAATGTCTCTATAGTGAAATGGGTTCTTCCAGTGGTTGTAGTTGAGGGGAGGAGGATGGAGGGGAGGGAGGAGATTGCAGTATATAGCTTGATACTGTTTGATAGAAATGTAGGACAACATTACACAGCAGACAATTTTTTTGGCTTGAAATACTAAAAAGTATTGTGATCCCACAGTGAAAATATGAAACTAAGGCAAGATTTCATTTCGGGCAGTTGTTAGAAATTATCGTTGATAAAAATATTGTTTTGTTTTCACATTTAAAATGTAGGCTTCTGCATAAACATTTTCAAATGCATGGTGAATAGTATGATACTGTTGACTTGTTCTTTGGACAACTTGCACAGTTGAATGTGTCTTCATCTTTATGCTGTGAAGTCCACTGTCATCCAAGTTGATTGCCCATACTCTTTGAACACTCTTGTATTTTAGAAATTTTATTTGTGATAATGGCGGAGTGTCTGGAATTTTTGTAAAACTGTGAGGCTGTTTTTCATGTTTTAGCATCACTGTATTTCATCAGATTATTTGCACGCCTGTAGTAAGATGATCTTTCGCGTGCACACAGCAGCTATTTTGTCCCTTGTATCTGACACCACTGGCTAGATTAGCGTGAACAAAATGTAGTGTGAATAATTTTCTTTGTGCCCCCCCCCCGTAAATTTGGATGTTAATTAGGATACCTTGTTTTCACTTCCCACTCTTCTTTGCTGTGCCTTTTTTTTTTCTTAAATGAGGTTTGCAATCTGATATAATTTCTAGAGGTTTCACATCATTGCATAGCATACTGGCATCTGTGGTATGGTGGTTAGGTGCTTTCCTGTCACACGCTGAAGACATAAACTCGACTCTTAAGAAAGAAAGTTTTTTTTTCTTTTGTTCTTGAGTGTCTTCATCATGTCTGTTGAGATACCGTATCCCACTCAGGTCAGGTCAGCCATGACAGGCAGGGTGGAAGCAGTTTGCCTTCTTGAGGGTCTAAATTGTATGGAGGGAGTGTAAAACGATAATAATTTCAGTGCCATAGTAAGATAAGAGTGTATCTGTTTTTCTGTAGTGGTGGTAAGGTACCCGTGTTTAGTTTTACCTCTGTCCTGCTGACTATATTAAGATTTCTGTCTGCTTTTTTCTTCTCTTGCCACTGTTCAAACCACAGGTTCTGTTGATTCTGGCATCAGTGCAATATTATTTTCATTATATATAAATATATATATAAATAAATACTCAGACATGCATTGGTGGGTGGTTGGCGGGTGCTCTGGTGTGGTTTGCTTCTTCTTTCCTATCAAACATCTGTCGTCCTTATCTCCCCTCCGTCTTTTTCATGTTTGTTACTCTCTTGTAACACCTCTAATCTTCTGGCGCTCATATGACCTGATGCAGTTGCGAGCACCGTTAAACCTCTACTAAAACAAAAAAAACAACAAAAAAACGTGCATTGATATCATTTGTGTGTGCTGGAAACTATTATCTCCTTTCTTTCTGATGCACAATACCTATTCCTCTTTAGTGCCATAATATCTTCACACCTGTTTAAAAATCATTGGGATTTTTTTTTTCCACCTTGGCCCAAACAATCTTATTGGAGTGGTGACTTACACGTTATTGTGCAAAATTTATGTCTCTCTCTGTCTGTATCCTGCTCTTATTGTTTCCTTGTCACCCTGCCTAACTATCCTACTGTCTCCCTGTCTGTCTTCTTGTTTCCTTGTCTGTCTGTCTGTCTGTCTGTCTGTCTGTCTGTCTGTCTGTCTGTCTGTCTGTTTGTCTGTCTGTTTGTCTGTCTGTCTGTCTGTCTGTCTGTCTGTCTTCCTCTCTCCCTCCCTTTCCCCTACCCCTTTCTCTCCCTTTCCCCCACGCTTCTCTCTCCATCTCTCTCAGTTTGTCCCTCTCTCTCTCCCTCTCTCTCTCTCTCTCTCTCACACACACACTCTATCTCTCTCTCTCACTTTCTCTCTCTCTCTCAGAGGTTATAGACATACTTCATTCTCAATGATATCTGTAATGACTGGTATCTGAACAATGAGATGGTAGGTTGTTTGAGGCCACCAGTGGTAGGTTCTTCTTTTCTTTCCCCTTCCCTCTGTCTGCTTATTGCTCTTTCCCTTTTTTCACTAAGTTACCACTTCCTGTGTACATATGTGCTTCTTTTTACTCAAACTTCAAACAAGGAGACAGGAGGATTAACGTGATGTATTCACGAGGATTAACATAATGTTTTTGCTGTGTTGTTACGTCCAGTATCTGAAGCTGGGCAGCCTGAAGGACCCTGTCCTAGATGACGTCAATGACTTTGGCGTGTGCGACGCTGCCATGAAGCACTTGGGCTTCAAAGACGATGAACGTCTGGGGATCTATGCCCTGGTGGCAGCCATCTTGCATTTGGGGAATGTCTCCTTTGAGGACAGTGATGATGCTAAAGGTTCGTTGAGCTTTGTTTCCTAGCAATAGACAGGTTGGAGGGTGCCACTGGAAAGTTCTACTTCTCTTCTCTCTCTCTCTCAGTTGTATCTGTCAGCATCTCTTACTTTTTTTCTGCTCTAAATGACTGCTATTTTGCAGAATTATTTACTCAAACAAAAAAAACCCTCAACCAAACTCTGTTATTTAATATCATCTAGGGTTTTGTTTTGGGCGTAGCGATGAGTTGTGTAGTGGCTGTACTTGACAGATTCTTGATATGTGTGTACATGTTAACCACTCGCCCTTATTCAAGTCGTTGGTTGGAGGGATCCACTGATAGATCCTACCTCTTTACTTTCCCTCTGTTGTTTCTGCCTGTCTATCTTACTTTTTCCCAGCACTGAGTGACCATTATTGTGTGAAGCGGTTCTCTTTACTCAAACAAACCCTCATCGAGTCAATGGTTTAAGGGCGCAACTGGTAGGTCGTACTTCTTTACTTTCCCTCTTTTCTTTATGTCCATCAGTCTTGCTTTGGAAATTAAATTGTTACCGGATGGCACATGAAACTACTAGCACATATTTCCTGCAGCCATGGAAATGCTGTGACAAAACAGCAATGCAGACGTAGCCTACTGCTGTAAACTTTGTTGAGATTATAAGAGATGTTAATGCTTAGTACAAGATTAATCTTAATCACTTATTTATTAAGACTATTTCTGAATTGTAGGGGGGGCACCAGTGATTGGTCTTATTTTTTATCGTTCCTTTTTTTCTGTTTGTCTTTCTGTCTGTCTTCATGATCATCATCAGCCTTTCTCATCCTGTGCCGAAGTATAGGTAACCAGCAAAAGTTCTTAATGACTTCTGTCCTGGGCCATAGTCTCCGTCGTTTTTACAGAAATGGCAACAAGGAAAGTTCATAATATATGTTTAAGAGATGCTGAAACCCATAGAAGGGAGAAAGGGGATACCACTGTCTGTCTTACTTTTTCCCTGACACTAAATGACTGTTATTGTGTCGATGTGTGTCTCTTTTTCATAGAAAACCTCGATGATACCCCTCACCTGCCCCCAACCCCACCCCCACCTTTCTGTACATACTGTAAAATTGTTACTAAACTAAAATGATTGTGGATGGATGATGGGTACCACTGGTAGGTCTTACATCTTATCTTTTTTACTTTTTTTTCTGCCTGCCTTTCATATTTTTTTCCCTAACACTAAATAACCTTATGTATTAAATGCTTCTCCCCCCCACACACACACACGCACACGATTCTCACACACACACATCTGTGTTGTAGGAGGCTGTAAGGTGACTAAGGTGGCTGAAGACTCCATCCAGATGGCCGCGTCTTTGCTGGGTGTGGACGTGGAGGAACTCCGAGACTCTCTCAGCTCCCGTGTCATGCAGGCTACACGGGGAGGCATGAAGGGCACAGCCATCAAGTGAGTCAATGTCTCTATCTCTCTGTCTCTGGTGGTGTCAGTAATGTTACGGTGTGTCACAAGGTATTTAGCGAGGGGGGGGGATAAATATGTCGCGAATTCAGTGCTTTCTTGTCATTTTTTAAACAGTGAAAACAGTTCATAACAAAGAGTGAGCTTAAGAAAAAGTCACATTTTCAATGTTTAAAAAAATGGAGATACGACAAGAAAGCATGGATGTCGCGATGTGAGGGGAAGCATAAAGGTTACAGATGGGGCTGTAAGGGGAGACAGGAAAGGCATTACCATCAAGTGAGTCTATGACTGGGTCCGTTCTGTGCGTTCTGTTATTTATAGTCATAACATCAATCTATTAAATCTCAGTAGATTCATCTTATTCAAATAAAAATGTATGTTTATTGCCAGGACTATACTTTTCTTTTCAGTTTGGTGATCATTCTTTTCAGTTTGGTGTTTATTTTATGCAAATCAATTAGATAAGAGTGGCTTTATCAGGAAGTTTGTGATGTTGAAAAATTTGATGACAAAACTGGTTGTGTTTGAAGGTAGAATTAGGAGAACCTTTGTATACTAAAAGAGTAAATGTTACAGAATGGCACAAAGAGTGTCACCGGAGCAGGGGTTAGGTAAGGCATAAAGGGCAGTGCCATCAAGTGAGTCAACGACTGTCTCTTGTAGGGTTTTAATGATATTACAGTATGTTACAAGGGTACTCAGTAATATGTGGCTGTTATCTTGCTGGTTTACCTTTTGACCGTTAACTACCCTTCACTTTTCTTCCGTATGTAGTCCTCAGGACAGAAAGCGTTTTCGTATAGTTTCCCTGTGAGTGTCTGAGAGCGTTGCAGGTCTCTCCTTCTTGTGAATACATTGTCTTTTCCCTTCTTCACTTTGTAATGAGAGAGGTTGGAGGGTGCTGCTGGTTGGTCTTAAGTCTGTGTGCTTTTCCTCTATTTTTTTCTGTCTGTATATCTTGCTTTTCTCCCTGCTCTTAACGTTTATTGTAATATTGAAGCGCGTCTTTTTACTTCATCAAACAAGCAAATAAACCCCCTTGGTAATGCAATAATTTTCCCATTGTTTCTTTCCAGGGTTCCCCTGAAGGCTTCTGAGGCAAGCAATGCCAGGGATGCTCTGGCCAAATCGATTTACTCGCGGATGTTCGACTACATCGTTGACATGGTCAACAAATCCATTCCTTTTGGCTCTTCTGTTAGCTTCATCGGTGTGCTGGATATCGCTGGATTTGGTAAAAGCAACTTCCTTTTGCTGTTTCTGTTTTAGTTGAACTGGAAATTGGGTGTGGTTTTTCATTCCTTCTCACACTATGTCTGCCAAATATGGTTTCAAATATACTTAACTTGGAAGTAGATTATTCACGCACTGGGCTGGATTGTCAATTTGAGAATGAAAAGTAAATCAGTGCTGTTTCTTTTTGGTGTGAAATGTATGGGATTTTTCTGGAAGAATTATTTTGTTTTGATTCTAGCCACTTTGCTCTTTGATTTCTCGGAAGAACCTTTTGAGAAGATGAATGTGTTTTTTTAAAATCCACAATATGAAGTGAAATGGAGAAACAAGGTATGCTACCAAATACATCTTTACCATGGGTCATTGATGGATTTTGTAAGGAATCATAGCTTTGAACTTTCTTATCAGAAAATTCAATAAAAAAACGTGCTATATTTTTATCCGCTAGATTTAATTATTTGTAATTTTAAATTAAATTTTCTTCTCCTCAGAATATTTCCAAGTAAACAGTTTTGAACAGTTTTGCATCAACTACTGCAATGAGAAGCTGCAACAGTTCTTCAATGATCGTATTCTGAAAGAGGTAAAAAAGAATTTGTTATTGTTGAACTCTAAAATCAATGTGAATTGATCTAAATTCCCAAAACCCACACTCATGGAGAGGCGTTTCTAAGAAAGGCAGGGGTCCATTGTGAGTCTTAGTTTTATGTCCTTTCTGGGAAATGGAAATGGTTCTCTTCCCATAGGACCCCTAAATATCTCTTTGTCTGGAAGACATCCATTTTATTTATATTCTAAATCTTATATACATACACAATTGTAGTAGAAATTCCTTCTTACCAACAAAGTGTCAGATGAGAGACAATGTAGTTAGTTTTCACAGTCATAAAAAGTGGGTTTGGTACCAGGCGGTACCGACCCTGGCTTCTCTTAACATAGTTTTAGTTTGTTCTTCCTTGGTGCAAGGAGTTGGATACCATGCGATTTGTTGGAGGGCAAGTGTGGAAGGTCCTGCTTTTATTTCCCTCTCTTGTCATCCGTTACTCTTTCAATGCACTGAATGACTGTTGGATGTGTTTCTCTTTCCTCTAACAAATTTGGGCATCGACATATGCTTGGTGCCACATCTTGGCACCACAAACCAGCATCCTCCAGGAACAGATCTCTTATATCGTCTGTTCACCTCCCTTCTATTCCAGACATCACAATCACCTTCGAGTCTGTGAACATTTTTAAAAAGTCTTACGATCACAGTAGGAACAACTTGACGTACTCCTCTTTTGGCTCATTCAATTCTCTAGTTCAAGTTAATAGATACCGTTTCTTGTCATCCCATCTCTCTTCTGAACAAAGAGTCAAATTTTTTCACATCAACTTGCTCCCATAATTCCTTTTGTTCCCTCCCACTTAGTATCCTAATGCAGTGGGGAATATGCCAGCTTGTTCAGTGCTGTCTTGTTGGCAGTGACATATTTGTGCGTGTTCATCTGTTGTCTGCGGGTGGTTGGAGGGTGCTGTTGGTTTGTCCTACTTCTTTTCTTTCCAATTGATGTATCTGTCTGTTTGTCCATCTTATTTTTTTTTCCTGTACTGAATAATCATTATTGTGTCAATGTATACCACTTCACTTAAACAAAACAAAATACCTGGCGTCTCAGTCCCGTGGGAGATGTACAATATGTCAACCTGTTGTTGCTGGCATTGACATGTATCTGCGTGCTCCTCTATTCCCTTGTGGTTGGTTGGGAGATGCCACTGGTAGGACCTACTTCTTTACTTTTCCTCTGTTATTTCTGCCTGTCTGTCTTACTTTTATCCAGCACTTAATGACCATTATTGTGTGGATGTGCTTCTCTTTACTCAACAATCAAAACAAACTCCATTCCCCAGGAACAAAGTCTGTACGAGAAGGAAGGTCTGGGTGTGAAGAAGATTGAGTGGACAGACAACCAGGACTGTATCGAGCTGATTGAGGCCAAGAGCTGCGGCATCTTCGACCTGCTGGATGAGGAGAGCAAGCTGCCCACACCAAAGTATGACCACTTCACCAACGAGGTCCACGGACGCAACAAGAACCACTTCCGCCTCAGTGTAAGCTCTCAACAACACTTGTGAACGCTTGTGAACAATTTGTCTCCTGTCTATAACTCAGATCAGCCACTCGTGTACATTATAGAGAATCTAGAAAAGAAACTTCGCCAGTCCAGTAACCTGGTTAACTCTAATGGCTGGATTAACCCTCTCAGTTCAGTAGCCTGGTTAACTCCAGTGGTTTGATTAACTCTTACAAGTGTAAGGCCCAGTTAACCTTGTGAAGATTTGATGTGGATTAAAATTCTAGAACCACAAGAAAAGGGTTAACCCTCTAACTCCAGTGTTTTGATGATATCAGTGAGGACATCGTACAGGCTAGGTGTGTAGAATCAGGGTACCCCCCGGGGCGGTGCTACTGACTGAAGTGTCTTAGGCCATTCTCAAAGGGTAGACATTAACCTGCTCTTATGCAAAATAGAATTGTAAATGGGCTGATTCATCTATGTCATGTTCATAACTGTGCCTGAACTGCACATGGAACTGCTGCTTTTTCTTTCCTCATCCTTGCTATCATCATTTTCCTCTACTTCTTTTGTATGTTTGTCACACTTTTATGACCCTCTATTTCCGGGGTGCCTTGATAGTCGAAGCAGACTTTGTGCTGTTGAAGCTAGAGAGGTGACCAGAGTAAGCCTGATTCCCTGTAAAGACTTCTCTGTTGACATCCACCCCTTGGTGCTCATATGATCTTATGCAGTTGCGAGCGCTATAAAAACCCTACTAAAACTAAAACTAAAGAATCAGCGTGTGTTTAATTCCTTGGAGAATTTATTCCCCTTGAATAATTGTTCACTTAAGAGTCACAGAGAATGATGTACAGAAAAGTGGGAAGACATGGAATAATATTAAGAGCCAACCCCAGGATAGAGAAAGTGGAAAGTGTTTGTTTGTTGCCCTTAGCCTATTTACTGACTTGCATATTGTTGTTGGTGTGAATAGGTTCCCCGTAAGTCCAAGCTGAAGAGTCACCGAGATGTGCGAGATACAGAAGGTTTCCTGATCCGTCACTTTGCTGGGGCTGTTTGTTACCATACAGTGAGTTGCTTATGTTTGTTTGTGTCCTTTGTGTTTCCATTTGAAACTTCATGACATATTTGTAAAGTGTGTCTATGTCCTGACATATTTGTGCAGTTTGTCTATGTCCTGACATATTTACATAATGTATCTAGGTCCTGACATATTTATTTAATGTATCTATGTCCTGACATATTTGTATTGTGTGTCTATGTCCTGACATATTTGTGTTATATATTTATATTTTCTGTTTACATGTTTATGTCTTGATATATTTATATTGTATGTCTGTGTCTATGTCTTGATATATATGTATTGTATGTTTACTTTTCTATGTCTTAATATATTTGTATCATGTGCCCACCAGACCCAGTTCATCGAGAAAAACAACGATGCGCTACATGCCTCTCTGGAGTTCCTAATCCAGGACACGAAGAATCCGCTGCTGAAGAAATTGTTTCAGGCCACAGAGGCCGCAGCGACTGCCGGGAAGCTCAACTTCATCAGTGTGGGATCCAAGTTCCGCAAACAGCTGGGAATCCTCATGGACAAACTCAGGTCCACTGTACGTACTCACTTGATTCATGGTTTTTGCTGTAATGTTGTCATTTTCATTTTCCATGTTGGGATTACTTTTGGTGGATGGTGGAGATCACTTCAGTAGTGACTGGTGGGTTTTGTTTTGTTTTTTGTTTTTTTAGAACAGGACGTTGCCATCCAAAAGATATAATCAAGAACGAAGCCTCATCAGCTTCATGTAGCATCTGTCCTGCTTTGAACTCGGCACAAGGCTGAAAAGTCGGAACAGGTGCAACACTTTGATCTTAGCCAAAAGTCTGAGAAGTGTTTAGTGACTGGTGTTATTTAATACCATGTTCGGAAATATGTATAGGTGGGTGGTACGGGAATTTTAACCTCTAAGGTGTGGCAAAAGTTGGTGCTGGCTATAAAACAGGTTGACAAACACTGCTCTAAACATTTTTAAAATGCAAGATACGGTATGTGCTGGTTTTTGTGTGTGACATCAAGATTACAGTAGACTGCTTTCAAGGCATTCAGTGACAGAGGCTGTCTTGCCTGTCATTGAGGAACCAGCCAGTACGCAGAAGTGTGATGTTTGAATTAGGCTAAAACTTTGTCCTTTTATAAATATGTTTCCTCTTTTGGATCCCTTTAAAGTACAAGTTTTTTTGGGGCCACCAAAATGATGTAAATTGTGTCTATTAGGATGATGATATAAATTTTAATGTTCGGTGAAAATTGTTTGCAGAACAGTTGAGTAAGTTTAAGCAATACTGTAATTATCTTGTATACCTTGCATGGAATGCTGGTCAGGAGATGTGACAGCAATATGTTACAGCAATATATGTGATAGAAGTAGCTCTACATGTCCTTCCAAACTCTTACGCAATGCCCTTTCATTCTCCATCTGTTCAGGGAACCAACTTCATCCGTTGCATCAAGCCAAACGCAAAGATGGTGGACCACTTGTTTGAGGGAGCCAACATTCTAAGTCAACTGCAGTGTGCAGGTAATATTTTTTGTTTAAACACAATTTGTCATTGAGTTAGTTTTCACACACAAATGCTGTTATGTGTATATATTTTTAGTTAACTTCTCATTTGTGTTGCTTCATTTATTTTGTTTTTATAAGTTGTAGTCAATATTATCATAAAACACCCGAATTATGCACTCATCAAGTAGCCAAAATTAGGGCATTTGTCAGAATATTATCCTTGAATGTTCACAAACTAGAATTTGGTCTCCTGCTTTTGTGTTAGTGGAGAGAAGGTTGTGTCTTCATCGACTCTGCAATGGAGAAATTTTTGATGAACTAATTGGATTTACTTTGATAAAAACATATTATGTTGATGGGTGGTTGGTGGGTGCTCTGATATGGTTTGCTCACTTGGAACACTTCTAATCTCCGGCACTTATATGATCTAACTGTGTTGCATGTGCCATAAAACGCTTTCTAAAACTACTAAAACATATGCTGTTGAGCCACAAAGCTTGTTTTTTCATGCAGTATTTAGCGTGTCACTCTCATTCAATCCTGCTGTTTTGTTTGTCCATGTATCCAGGCATGGTGTCCGTGCTGGACCTGATGCAGCAGGGCTACCCGTCCCGTACACAGTTCTCCGAGCTCTACAACATGTACAAGAGATATCTGCCACCTGAGTTGTCCCGCCTGGACCCTAGACTCTTCTGCAAAGTGTGTAATCTCTTGGCCTTGTACTTTCTCACATTGGTGGTTGGCCAGTGCTCTGGTGTGGTTTTCTTCTTCTTTCCTGTCATGCCTCTATCATCTTTATCTCTCCTCCTTTTTTAGTGTTTGTTACTCTCCTGTAGCACCTCCAATCTTTGGCTCTTGTATGATGTAATTGTGTTGCAAGTGCTGCAAAACTCTTACTAAGACAACTTTATTACTTCTGTTAGTCAATGCGCATGGATAGCTTTTGTTACACTTTCTCATGGTTATAACTCAATTGCCTGTCTTTTTTGTTTGTTTTGAGAAGTACTTTAAAAGTGCTTTCCTCATTCAACCTCAAGACTTGAGAACGAGTGGAGATGTTTTAATAATTATTTTCTTTTGGTTCATAAAATAAAACCCTGATTACTGAAGATGCAAAATGAGTAACAAGCATTTTTATCATATCAACAATCAGAATGAAAAAAATAAGACAGGCAACCTGAATCCCTGAGCTAATTCAGGCCTGAGTGTTATTTCTGCCAGTACCATTGTAATTTTTACTTGTCTAAAGCTTTGAGTCACAAATAAACTCCCCAGCTAATTCAGTCCTTGGTGTAATTTCTCCCAATCACTGTTCAAAGCCTTGGGTCACAAATAGACTCCGTTAGTGGTTGGCAGGTGCTGTGGTGTGGTTTGCTCCTTCATTCCTATCAAACTTTTAACGTTCTTATCTCTCCTCCTTTTTTGTGTATGTTACTCTCATGTAACACCTATAATCTTTGGCGCTTATATAATCTAATTGTGTTGCAAGTGTCATAAAACTGTAACTAAAAAAGTAAAACAAATAAACTGAGCTAATTCCCTCCTGTGTCTCATTTCTTCCAGTCGCTGTTCAAAGCCTTGGGTTTGGATGACAAGGACTTCAAGTTTGGCCTGACCAAAGTGTTTTTCCGGCCTGGCAAGTTTGCGGAGTTTGACCAGATCATGAAGAGTGACCCGGAGAACTTGGCAGAGTTGGTGAAGAAGGTGAAGAAATGGCTGCTGCAGTCTCGCTGGAAGAAGGCACAGTGGTGCGCTCTGTCTGTCATCAAGTGTGAGTATTTCAACTGTTTCTGCTCACCCAGTGGAACTATCTGTGTGCATCTTGCTTTCTTTTGTTCGTTATAATAAGATGTCTTTAGAAATGTCTCTTAATTGGAAGAAGGCACAGTGGTATGCTGTCTGTCACCAAGTGTGAGTACTGGAACTGTTTGTGCTCTGATTCGTTTCTTTCTTTGTCACTCAAAACAGATTGTATCCACCATCATCACTTTATTGGATTTTGTTTATTCACTCCATAAATGCAGTATTGTGGATGGTTGATGGGTGCTCTGGAGTGGTTTGCCCCTTCTTTCCTATCAAACATCCTTTGTCCTTATCTCTCCTCCTTTTTTATTGTGTTTGTATTTGTAACACTTCTAATCTTAAACTTTTATATGACCTCATTGTCTTACAAGTGCCGTAAAACTTTTGCTGAAATCAAACCAAATGCAGTATTGAAGGTGCAAGTTTTAAGTATCTTACCCTAAGATGATGAGACTTCACTTCCTACATGGGAGAGATGTTTTATTGAGTATCACTATCCTTCTGCTTGGAATTATATTTGGGTATTCTGTAACAAGTCAAACGTCAGACGCACATAATGCAGGGATTATGACTTACTGAAAAATAATTTTAAGCAGTGATAGAGCCATTCTTGGTTTTTTTGGTTTTTTTTTTTTTATAGGCGCATTCTAACCAGTAACTTACTTTGAATTAATCGATAAGCATCCACAGACTCTTTGAGATGCATTCGAAAGTTGTCAATATAATGAAACACATATCATGGAAGAGCTCACTTTGGGAAGCTTTCTTAGTGAGGTAAATTGTATTAATGGGGCCTTTAAAGATTTACATCCTCTTATATTAACAAATAGATTTGTTCATGTGAACAGATAGCAAACACAAGGAGTATTCTCTAAGGCATAAAGAAAGATTGATAGACTGCAGTCTGTCATACAAAACCAGTTTCATTGCCCCTCTAAATTTCCTCTCATTATCTCTACTTTCAGTGAAGAACAAGATTTTGTTCAGAGCCCAGAAGTTTGTGGTTATCCAGGCTCACATCCGCATGTGGCGATGTGCCCGCAAGTTCAAGCCCAAGTAAGAATTTATTTTATTTTTTGTTTCTTGTCCTAAAAAGAATGTCCCAAGTGGGTAGTTGGCAGGTGCTCTGGTGCGGTTTTGCTTCTCCTTTCCTATCAAACATCTATTGTCCTTATCTCTCCTTTTTTATGTTTGTTACTCTCTTGTAACACCTCTAATCTTTTGCACTTATATGACTTAGTTGTGTTGCAAGTGCGGTAAATCCCTTACTAAAGCTAAAAAGAATATCCCAAGTCTGATATAGGTAGTGCTTGTAGAACTGTTTATTGCTCACATGATGTTGTCCGTCTTGATTACATTTTCTATAGGTTTGGGGCAAAGTTGATATAGACTATAGTTTAGTTAACATCAGATACTAGTCTAGTGCTAATTTACAGAAAAGTAGGTAGTTTTGTTCGGAATGAAATTCTTGCTCTTTATTGTCTTTTGTCCACAAACAATGTATTAGTTTATTATTTTAAATTGTTTTTTGTTGGGGTATTTTTAAAATGGGCATTTTACCCTTTTGAAGATTTCGCCTGTTGGAGAAGCTGTTTGAAAAGGGTGAAAAAGACAAATTTCACTGTCTATTGTGTCTCTGTGCTCACACAAACACAAACAAACTGTTTCATGTGTTGATGGACTTGTTTTTGTGTCCAGGTTTGAGGTGATCAAGAAGGTGAAGGCCGTCCAGGCACAGCGCTCTCTGATGGACCAGATTGTCTCACAGCTCAAGAAAGACAAGGACTCAGCCACCAAAGCTGTTAAGGAATTGGAGTCTAGCCAGGAGAACTTCATTAAGAAGATCAGGGTGGGTAGGCTTGGGATGGCTTATGTTTGTGCCTGGGTGGGGAATATGTAAAATCAACTCATTGTTCGGGTAGTTGGAAGGCGTCACTGGTAGGTCCTATATACATATCCTGTCTGTCTATGTTGCCTTTCCCCTGCTCTTAATGACTGTTATCATGTCAATGTGCATGTCTTGACTGCTTCGACAACAGGAAATCCATATTAACCCAATTCTGAGGACCACACTATCTTTACCCTTCTGCCCAAGGAATGCAAGTTTCGCTGAAGGTTTTGGTTTGCTTAGCAGACAAATCACAAGAGATGCTTGGGTCCCTTTGGCTGAGGGGACAAAGGCTCAAAGATTTAATTAAGACTGTGGTTTTGACATGAGTGGTGCTTTCATCTTGAATGTCCCTATAGAAAAAAAAAAAAAATTGAACTTATATTTTTCTTCGACGTTTGTACCAATGCCTGTAGGTGCTAGCTCATGTTTGATATTCTGTCACACAGTACCTTACTTTTTGAAATGATGTATGGCAAAGTCTTACACTAAACAGATGGTATGTATGCATGCCAATGTAAACCACATTTTTTCACACATGTTAATGTGGGTGGTTGGAGGGTGCCACTAGGATGTCCTATTTCTTTTCTTTCCCTCCATTGTTTCTGTCTGCCTGTGTTGCTTTTTGACTGTTTTTGTGTGGATGTGTTTCTCTCCTCCTTTTATCTATATGTTATTATGTAGTAAAACCTCTAATCTTTGGCACTTATGTGACCTAATCATATTGCAAGTAGGCCTGGGCATTATTCGCTTTCCAAAAAACCGAATAACTAGGTACCTGTTTCTATAAAAATCCGAATAACCGAATAAATGAACCGTTTTTCGCGCGGGGGGGGGGGGGTTATTGTTGGATTTCCCCCACGGTTCTTCCACTGCCCTTACTATATTTTCAGGCAATCACTTTAGCAACCTCCCTTTTAAAACAGTTTTTTTCTTTGTTTTGATAATATGCGGTGTCATGTTTCTGCTCCAACCAACTGATAAACTCCTTTCCAACAAAACTAGATCTACTATCAAAGCTATTTAACATAAAATCTGATTGCAGGAAATGGAATCTAGTAGTCATTTTATTTATAGTCTGAAGTGGCAAACGTGATCTATGAAGATGAAGAGGGTGAAAAATCACTTCTGGAAAATATTCTTTTGAACACGAAACTGAATTTGGCACTGCTGTTCGTTGTGCATCGTGTAGTAGCGGACTGTCAAAGGGCAGTCTTGATAGATCATCCCTCTCAGCACTGAGTGAACTAACTCCATTCCAAAACGATTCATTAGCGGACTCGGTTTCAAACCGATTCATTAGCTGACTCGGTTTGAAAACGATTCATTAGCTGACTCGGTTTCAAACCGATTCATTAGCCAACTCGGTTTCAAAACGATTCAATAGCTGACTCGGTTTCAAACCGATTCATTAGCTGACTCGGTTTGAAAACGATTCATTAGCTGACTCGGTTTCAAACCGATTCATCAGCTAACTCGGTTTCAAAACGATTCATTAGCTGACTCGGTTTCAAAACGATTCATTAGCTGACTCGGTTTCAAAACGATTCATTAGCTGACTCGGTTTCAAAACGAATAAAATTGAACTCGCTTTTTATTCGTTTTGACGTCATAACCGTTTTGGTATACTTCTCCTTCTCGCCATAGATAAAACATGTTTCTGACTTACAAAACTGCCTTTCACACATCTATTGGCCAAAGTAGGAATAAGATATATTCATTTGTTGTAGTGATTTTTACCTCCGACTTTATCGGAAACTTTTGTTTGGCATAGATCTACTAAAAATTTGAATGTAAAACATGAAAAGTTTGGGGGCTGTTCTTCTTCCATAGTACATTAATTTCATTTCCAAACACTTAAAACTAATTGACAACGCTAGATTATCTATTTTAATTGAAAAAAGGGAGGGGGAGAGAAAGAGAGGGGGGGGCACGGAGAAAGAAAGAGAGAAAGACAGAGAGGGAGAGAGAGAGGGGAGAAAGAGGACAAGCGAGCGAGAAAGAGAGCGAGCGCGGGCGCCCCAAGAGAGAGAGAGAGAGAGAGAGAGAGAGAGACAGAGACAGAGAGAGACAGAGAGAGAGAGAGAGAGAGACAGAGAGAGAGGGGGGGGCGGGCTTTGGTGACGTAAATCTGTAGGCTGACTTTACTAGGCAAAGGTCGACGACCGATGCGAGCGGATGGGACGTTAGCCTACGTCATCGTACTCCCTTCCCTCCCCCTCCCTGTTCTGCGTCATCGTACTCCCTTCCCTCCCCCTCCCTGTTCTGTTGGGTTGTTTTTTAAAATTTTAAATCTAAGTCTTCATAACACCGAAGAGATTCAGTTTTAACTCTTTTGATGAGAAAAATTGAGAGGGAGTTTGGTATAGTAAAAAATCATATCACTGAGATAATAGGTCTATTGTTCATTACGTTATTAAAGACCTTAGGGAGGAAAGCAAGCTTATAGACGAACGCGGCTCTCTTAGGTCAACAATAACATTGAACAATGATAGAAAAACAACAACAATGGAAAGTTAAATTGGCTTTGATGGAGTGTTTTAGGGGTGGAAAAGGTGTGTGTGTGTGTGTGTGTGTGTGTGTGTGTGTGTGTGTGTGTGCATTTGTGTGTGTGTGTGTGTGTGCATTTGTGTGTGTGTATTTGTGTGTGTGAGTGTGTGTATGTGTATGTGTGTGTGCATTTGTGTGTGTGTGTGTGTGTGTGTGTGTGTGTGTGTGTGTGTGCGCGCGCGTGCGTGTGTGTGTTTGGAAGGGGGGGGGGCTTAATGTTTGTTATAAAGAACCCTTTTTTAGACAAGAAAAATTGAAGTCATTGCACTGAGTTACAGGGGTTAATATCAATTACAATAGTCACCCCGCAACTTTGCTGCGTGTAGTGTGACGTAGTCAGAGATCGCGGCTCAAAACAACAAGTCTTTCGGTCCTTTGAACTCTCGCTGTCACGGAAGTCTCTCCCCCCCCCCCCAAACCAGCTCCCCGCCCACCCCCTCCTTTTTCCTCCGTCCCACACCCTCTGTGCAACGCCAAGGGCACGTCACTCTTCCGCTTCTCAAAGCGAATCAATAGCAAAAAAAAAAAAAACGAATCAGAAACTAGGTACCTAGTTTTTGGAAAAATTAACCGGAGACCTAGTTTTGGGCTCGTATTCGGTTATTTGAATAATTTATTAGGTTTCTGCCCAGGCCTAATTGCAAGTACCTTAATACCCTTACTAAACTTACTTCACTCAACTCAGTGGGGATCAGTACAGGTGAAATGTTATTTTAGTTTCCTCTTCATTTGATCAGACAACGGACATGACACGAGAGGAGATGAGCAAGATAACCAACACTCTGATGACAAACATGGACGTCCTGCTCAAAGACTTCAACAAGAAACTGCTGGCTCAGAAGAACGCTGAGGAGCAGGAGAGGCTAAAGAAAATTCAGGTACACTAGATAGACATGGGCCAAATTTGGGTTTATTTTAGATGCAGAATTTCTGGTACTGTGTGCATGCAGATAATTCAGGAATGGAACACGTTATGTGAAAAATTCAGGTACAGTTCATATTTTGGGAAACATTTGGAAAATTCAGGTATGTTATACAATGGAAAACAATGGGAAAATTCAGTTACACTGCAAATTCAGACAACTCGGGTTCTGCACATGCATGGATAGTGCAAGTACTGCGCACAGAGGAAGTTATTCGTACACGGAGGGAAAAAAATTAATTTGATTTTTTAAAAAGAATATTTTTCCTTTCTTCAATGGGAGAAGTCTGAGGAAAATTCAGGGACTGTAGGCATGGGATATTTTTTCTGTCGAGAAAGGGAGATTGAATTTATTTGGTTATTTTTTTTGAAAGATTTTTTTCTTTTTTTTTATTGAAAGGAGTGTGTGTATAATGTAAAGATTTTTTTCTTTTTTTTTTATTGAAAGGAATGTGTGTATAATGTAAAGATTTTTTTCTTTTTTTTATTGAAAGGAGTGTGTGTATAATGTAAAGATTTTTTTCTTTTTTTTTAATTGAAAGGAGTGTGTGTATAATGTAAAGATTTTTTTCTTTTTTTTATTGAAAGGAGTGTGTGTATAATGTAAAGATTTAAAAAAAATTTTTTATTGAAAGGAGTGTGTGTATAATGTGAAAGATGACACACAAACTACGTCACTCATCTTTCTAGTGCCTTCATCTCTCATTTTAAAGATATCGCCACAGATGCTCATAGAAATATTTTTTTTACTTCCTCAATTGAGATTCTTGAACACAATTTATACAAGTTACATCACACCCTAAGAATAATATTGTCATGGGTGGTTGGTGGGTGCTCTGGTGTGGTTTCTTCCTTCCTTCCTTCCTATCAAATATCTATCATCCTTATCGCTCCTTCTTTTTAGTGTTTGTCACTCTCTTGTAATACCTCTAATCTTTGGCACATATATGACCTTATTGTGTTACAAGTTAATAAAACTCTTACTAAAACTCGAAAATAAAAAGAATAACATGCTACACTCTTTTAAAATGAATGTTGCTGTGTACACTGTTCTGAACCTTTTGCTTTGTGGCTCAAGTAGAGGAGTCACCAATCTTATAGAACCGTCTGTGGTATTCTCTATCTTTTTAAAACTTGCAAATAACACAAAATGTTTATCTTTGGGCGCATCAAGATTTCTTGGTGTTTTGTATTTGAGTTTCTTTGACCATATGGAATGCATTTAGAGAAAGTCCTTTTGAAAGTCATTAAATAGGCAAACATTTTTTTATTCACTGAAATTCATTTCAGGAACAAATGGAGAGAGAAAGAAAGCAAAAAGAAGAAGAAGAAAGACAAAGAAAGGAGGAAGAAGAACAGAGAAAGAAGTAAGTATTTTTATATGAGCCCTGGATAGGTCTTGATACACTGACCATATAAGGTACCCAGAAATATGCTCTGGGATGGTTAACCAGCTTGGAGTTCAAAAGGTTAAATGTGTGTGTATTATTAGTATTATAGCAAATTATATTGGGAGTATGAGGGTGGAACAGTGCCTGAAATGCCACATAGTAAAGTTAAGACTACAGAAGTCATGCTAATCAGATCGTCTTCTTACAATTTCTCAAGGCTTGTTAGGTCATGTATTTGAGTATCAAGATTAAGGTTGACTATAATTCTTCCCACTTGCTCTCTATTAAGCTGAACCTGAAATGTCCTGTATGTGATGTTTTAACAGTAATTTTCTCCTAAGTATCAGCCAGCCTGAAATACAATCTTTTTTTTTTTTCACCATGAAGCAATACATGGCTGAGTTTGTTTTGTTCTCACTTTGTTTTCTCCAGGAAAGCTGAGTTGGAAAGGAAAAGACAGAAGGAGGAGGAAGAGAGAAAGAAGCAGGAGGCTGAAGATAGAAAGGCTGCTGTAAGTTTTCTCCTCCTTTCTTTCTGTTGGCTGATGTATACCATTTGTTGGACTGGCACCTCTCTGTTTGTATCATCAGTGCCTTTCACCCCTGGCAGGGTATAGGCCACATACAAGCTCCTTTCATTTATCTCTGTCCTGGGCCATCCTTCCTAGCTCGTTCCAAGTGAGCTTCATCTCTCTCATGTCCCTTGCCTGACATCTTTTCCATGTTTCTCATCTGTTTGTATACTCTTGTCTTATTTAATGTTGGTGGAAGAAGCTAGGTTTTGCCAAAAATTTTATTTCCGTATTGTTAATTAGGATGGGTTTTTAAAATGTTTGTTTCATCGCTATTTTCTAATTATTTGTTTATTACATTGTTTATTTAAGATGTTTTTTTCTTTTGGTTCATTGCTATTTTTTATTTATTTGTTTATTACATTGTTTATTAGGATCTTTTTTTCTTTTGTTGCTATTTTCAAACTTTTTAATGACCAGTCATAGATAACATAGATGGATGGGGTTTGGTTGATTTGTTTCATGCCTTTAAACAATCGAGTAATATATCAACTGGCATGCCACACAAATGGCGCTGACAGCATGTCTGCTGTACTGGCACGCCAGGTTCAGAAGTGAATCCTGACTTTTTTCCTGTCGTTGTTGGGTGTTCTATCAAATGTCTGACCATGTTGACCACTGACTGGACCTGTTTGTCTATTTCAGGAGAATCTGCAGAAACAGCTTGATGAAGAGACCAAGCAGAATGCCCAAAGGTGTGCTTTCATTCTCTTAACTTAACTGTGGGGTTTTAATGATTTTTTTTTGTCACAAGATTGCCCATAATGGAAGAAGAAATTCAAGTCGAAATTGTCCAAGACAACCACCCGCTGTTAAGGAGAAAAGTGGTTGCCTTACACAGGTGGATGTCTTGGACAGTAGTGTCATTATAATATAAAAGGAATGCAAAGGGATGGAGGGAGGAATGTGGTGGTAGAGTGGAAAATTATAAATTTTGTCAAGGTGAATGTCTTGATAGGTGGCAATTCGACTAAGCTGGACTGTAGTTTCTCTGCAGAAATGCTCATAAATAAAAAGCTGAAGTCCTATTGTTGTAATTCAGTGTAGGTAATTAGTGGGGACAGTGGTGTGGTCTTGTTCTGTTTTTCATTTCTGTTCGTATTGTCCTTATCTGTTCTTGTGGAAATGTGTATTTTTTTAATGTTAAAAAAAAAATTCTTTTTGCACAAACTTTGTATAAGCTATGAGCCGACATCACATTATTGAGAGTGCAAAATATATTGTACTGTATCATCTGGCACCGTACACTGCCCAGGATGTTTGAATGAATTTCTCAACTCAATCTGGATGCCTTCAGGGTTATCTTTACTTTGTTGAGAAAAAAAACACACTACTCCGAATTTTCTGTAGCCGAAAGGAAATTTAAATCAGTGATCATACATTGCACTCTAGCCATGAAACTGTCTCTAATACTAAACCGGTTTCCCAACATATGACTACCTCAGAATTACAAAGTTTTATCTAATGTTTTCGGCTGTTTTGAGTTACGAAGACTATGAGATCAGAGAGCAAATATTCTATTTGCTCTATCAAAATTGTAAGATAACTCTGAGTCATTATGAAAATATTCAAAGAATAGCTTTTAAAAGAGCTTGGCATGTTGCGAAACAAAGCAATTTTTTTGGTGTTAAATTTCTCAAAACTAGGTAGTGAGCAGATAGAACATTGTAATTCTGGGCTAGCGATAAGTCAGACCGTGCTCTGGTGTGGTTTGCTTCTTCTTTCCTATCAAACATCTATCGTCCTTATCTCCCCTTCTTCTTTTTTATGTTTGTTACTCTCTTGTAACACCTCTAATCTTCTGGTGCTCATATGACCTTATGCAGTTGCAAGCGCTGCAAAAACCTCTACTAAAACTAACTATGTCAGACCGTGGTATATTGTGATGAAACCTGTTGTTCTGTGTTCCCCAGACAAGCGGCATTGGACCAGGAACATCGTGACCGTGAGCTGGCTCTACGTCTGGCCATGGAGGACCAGAACCAGGTGGAGGACATCCAACTGCCGCCTCCGTTGCCCAGGTAACCTGCTCACTTGTGTGGTTTAGCTTATTGCTGAGGTAACCAGAGCAGAAAAGGGGACAGGGCTAATTCCTTTATAAAAAATATTTTCTTAGTATTTTGATAAAGGTTGCGAGTGTTGTAAAACTCTTACTGAATTAAACTAAAGCTTAGTTTTGACAGATTGAGAATGTTCTTTCTACCTTGATTGAAGCAGTAGCTGAGAGAAAGTATCTTTTATTCTCAGCAATATTAGTAATTGTAATAACAGATGTGGGTTTTTTTTCTTCTATATTTTTACATATATCACATATCCTTGTTTCATTCCAAGGTCTTTTGTAGAATATGAAAAATGTAATACCTCAACAGAAATTAATGACAAATTTAAACCTTGAATTCATATTTCCTAATTCCTCCGTTACCCTTAACTTGAGTTGTTCTTCTGAATGTTCCTTTATTGAGCTCATTATTTAGAATTGTACACATGCTGCAGTCGTAGATAAATCTATCTTTGCAATGAATAGTTCCAAAGATGCGGGAGTCTTCTCAATGTGAGCACAAATACATCTTTTGAACCCTCTAAGAAAAAACTAAGAGGCCTATGTTGCTAAAAAAAATGGGAAGATTTTGTCTGTCCTCTTGTATACCAGCATCTGTGATGGAATGGTAGGCTCTGTTCCGATGCACTCAAAAGGCAAGAGAACAATTCCAGAGCGCGGATGATTGTCATGGCATATCTCTGTCTGTCTGCTGGGATTTTGTATCCTGTTCTAATATGGTGGGCCCTGACAGGCATTGTTGAGGCAGCCCACTTGCTAAATGATCTTAATTGTGTGGATGGGGGTGTAAAACACATTCTTACAATACTAATTTTTACATTTTACTCCTGCAGGTCGGCTGCCATGGTTGCCCTTCGTACGGCTGCAGCCCAGAAGAAGTTTGACCTGACCAAGTGGAAGTATGCAGAGCTGAGAGATGCTATCAACACTTCTTGTGGTAAGATTTGATTCTTAACATGTTCTCATTTGTGAACACTTTATGTCAACTTTATTGTTAGTTTGTCCTCATCTGGAAACATGTTATGTTAGTTTGATTCTTAGCTCATGTGTGGGTGGTTGGGGGGGGGGGAAGCTCAGGTATGATTTGCTCCGTCTTTCCTGTCATTGATAGTATCAAGTTAATGAACCCCTTGCAAGTGAGAGTAAATTGTAATGGGAAATCTTGCAGTTCTATGACACAGGCAGGCCCGGGAACTGAATGTTTTTCTCTTCATCTTCCCCCAGATCTGGAGATGCTGGACGCCTGCAGAGAGGAGTTCCACCGTCGTCTCAAGGTCTACCACGCCTGGAAGACAAAGAACAAGAAGAGGGGAGAGAAAGGTGCCACCGAGGCTGATCAGAGGGCACCCCACTCTGTCGAGGCCAACGGTAACTTTTTTGTCATATACTTGTCTGTCAGCCTCTCTCTGTTTGTCTCCCTCTTCCTCTGTTGTGTCTGTCTTACCTTTTCCCTGTACTATATGACAGTTTATGTGTCGATGTGCTTCTTTTAACTCAAAGTAAACCACAAATGTCTCATGGTTTCCCCACAGCCCAATGCCTCCTAGTCCAACCCCCCCCCCCCCAAACTTTAGGCCTACTCGCCCCCCCCCCCCACCCCTCGCTGTACACAAATGTCCTCCATCTGGCCACTTATGTGGGCAGTTGGCGGGTGATCTGGTGTGGTTTGCTCCTGCTTGATTTTTTCTTAACAAATAGCTAGTGTCCTTATCTCCCCTCTTTCTTTTTTGTGTTCATTACTCCCTTGTAACACATCTAATCTTTGGCTTTTATATGACTTTATTGTGTTGCAAGTGCCGTAAAACTCTTACTAAAACTTTAAAAAACAACTAAAAAGACCACTTATTTCTCCCCTCTTCCTGGTTTCTCCAGCCCAAGGCCCCCCTGTACCTCCACGGGGAGGCAACGAGGATAAGACCACTCAGCGTTACTTCCGTATCCCGTTTGCACGGCCGGCTGACGAGTACCGTGAGGAGACCAAACATGGCATGTGGTACGCCCACTTTGACGGTCAGTGGATCGCCCGCCAGATGGAGATCTACCCGGACAAGTCACCCATTCTGATGGTGGCAGGTGAGGCTCCTTGTCTTCTTATTCTTGATACTACTATCTACATCAGTGCTTGCCAACCTGAATGATATCTCTCACCAGTGGGCGATTTGGTAATTTCAGTGGGCAGTCTGGATCACCTCGGTAGTGACAGGTGTTACTTGACCCTACCCGTATGCCTGGGGCCATTTTGTACCCCAGGGGTTGTATTCTTCACATTTTAGAATACTTTTAGTGTGAAGAATTCTTTGAAACATTCTGTATTTCTCAAAAAGTCATTTTGACAGACTGGTATGCAAAGCGTACAGATCAGATTAACGAGTAAATTTCCTCTTTGGAAAGTGATACACTGATTTCCCCACGTTGTATAGATACGATAGTAAAACACGACGTACGGATAGGGTTAATGTCCTGGTATACATGAAGGGGGGAGGTACGGAAATTTTAACCTCTTAATCCTTTGAGCCCTCACCTCCTGAGGCTACTGTGCCCCTTTGCCTGAGCTCCTGAGTGATATACAGTATAACATGGATAGGTCGAACACAAAAGACTGGAAATCATGCATCCGTCGAACTGTGCCTGCAGTCCCATTTTTTTTCTTCTTTGTCTTTGTAAGATATCACTCGAACTACGGACCCCTCGAACCTCGAACTACTGAGGCCGGGACGAATTTGAGCTATCCGTGTCATACTGTATTACTAACATTCATATGCGAACATTTTGAATTTGTGATTTGAGTCGTCTTGTGTCCTGATGTGTTTATGTGTGCCCCTGTAGTCTTACAGGCGAACCTGAAATAGCTGAAAAACATGTTATGTATTAATAATTATTAATTACCTTTTTTATGATGAAACTGAAGTTAATGGTTTGTGTTTTCCTGGGACATTGAATTAACATACTGTAAACGATTCTTTCTCCACTTTTTATAATGTGCCCAAACACACTTGATACCACTGTCTGACCCAATTATAACCCATCCCTGATTTGTAAGCCTTTGATCTTCCTTGACAATTACTTATAGATGATGTGAAACTAGATAACAATAATGTGTGAAGACATTATAGATTACTTGTCGATAGTACGAAACAAGAACTGACCCCTCTGTGTGTGGCTGTGTCCCCCACCAGGTGTGGATGACATGCAGATGTGCGAGCTGTCACTGGAGGAGACTGGGCTGACCAAGAAGAAAGGTGCTGAGATCTTGGAGAATGAGTTTGAGGAAGAGTGGAACAAGTCTAACGGAATGGCTGTCCTCAAGAAACACGCCCAGAAAATTTCCTCCAAGTTCCTGCAGCAGAAACTTGGTATATCCAAGTGAGGGTGGTAGAAGACACTTACACTGAGAGCTTTGTGTTTTAGTTTGTATTTGTTTGTTGTGTCTGTGTATTTTGTTTTTCAGTTTTTGGGGCTCCTCTTGGCCTGTGTGTGAATGAGAGCTTTCGCTTTTATTTTGTATGGGGCCTGGTGTATGTCAAAGGAGCGTTTGCATTTTGCTGTTGTTTTATGCTGCTCGATGTGAAGTGCTTATATTTGAAGTAGCCATGTCGGGAAGGAACTTGAAATGTCTCTGAGATGGTTGTAAGCTTGGTCTTATTTGACATGAAGAGCAGTCCATGTAAGCATTCTCTTTGAGAGGAATTGTCTCAGTTCCACCAAGTTTTTTACATTGGTATTTGGAGATGTGAAGCTTGGAACTGGCAAGGTATGCTGAAATAAATCAGTCTGAATTGAATTACGTTCTAAATGAGAAAATGACAAATAGAAAGAGATATTGAGATAAGAAAATAAGCTTTGTATAAACCAATGTATCAATGTGAATTTTTTTTTCTGTAGCCTGCAGGTTTATTATTATTATTATGGTATATTACTGTATTGTTGATCATATTTTTTCCTTTGTTGTCAAACTTTTGTTGTTAAACTTTGTGGTAGGCTACTTTACTGGCTCTGTGAACATTGTGTGTGTGTTCATTCATAGACGCATTTTGGCTGTGTGTAAGTGTGTTCTTGTGTCAGCTACATTTCTACTGTGTGGTGACACTGTAGTGTGTTCATGTGTTGTAGATGCATTTCTTCTCTTCGTAACTATGTGCTTGTGTGCGGCTCTGTGTAACCATGTGTTCATCCAGAAGTCAGTAGAGCTGTCGGGTCACTTTACAGTCTGTTCTCATGTCGTCTTATGGCCAGCTCTGGCTGCTTCTCTTGTCTTTATTTTCTTTATATATATATATATATGTATGTCTGGCATTATTGTCATTATTATTGTGTAAAAGATTTTCCTCTCGATGCTGCAGTGGTAAAGACTGAAACCACAAAACGTTTGGCCGACCTTGGGCTGTTTTCCTTTTTTGTTAAGTCTTTATTTACACGTGCATATAGTTGGTATGTATTTATGTATTAGATTTGTTTTTTAGTTTGCTCTATTTGGGTCACACAATACCTGGTTACAAGTAATGAAGGCTAGATTGTCTCAACAATGGTGTATGGTTTTCTCAGTAAACTTATTTTCCTCTTTTACTTTTATTGCCTTTGTATTTGTGCCTTTTGACATAGATTCTATCCCACTCCCACTCTCAACTACGTTCTGTGAGGGATGACCAGGTTTATGCATATTTTTGAAAGGACTTATATTTTTATTGAAAGTAAAAAATTATTTTGTTTTTTATGTAAATGAATGGCAAACTCCAGTGCTCTTTCTATGTATTGAGATAAAAGTTGGCTGTTGATTCAAACATTTTCCTGTATTTAGAGACCACCATACTTTTTTTAATATTTAGATATTTTGATCAGCAAGATCTATTGCTGAGAATGTTCACTATCTCACCTGCAAGATATGATGTTATTTATTGTCATTTGTCTTTCTATACCAATGTTGTGTTTTTATCTATAGCAAACGGTTGATGGTGGCTTTCCTGTCTCTTCTTTCCTGTACCCTGACTGATAAGAACTGCCTCCTTTTGACAAAATTTCTATCAAGGCAGAAGAGAGATTCCAGCAGAGTTTGTTTTATATCTAATAATAATACGAATCTGAACCCTTATATTAAAAGGCCTTTTGATTGCTACGTTTTCTCTCCCATTTTGGAGACTTTTTACGAGCGCCGTAAAATCCCATACTAAAAAGAAAAGGAGACTTTAAATTGTGTACTTGGTAGTGTAAAGCAGCCTGAAGATCATCATGTCACTTTCAAAGCGTCAGGCATGTTTTTTTTAGAAACTAAAAAAAGAAAAACCCCATGGAATGTTTTATAATTTGGCTGTACATCAGAAGCCCTGTGGTTCTTCAAAATGTCAAGTGTCTCAAGTGTTTCTTATCTCACAAAAAATTGTCCTTGGTTGCAAGAGGCAAAAGTCAGGGTACAGCATTCCTCTTTCTCTTGTTGTTCCCTCCTGTGACTGACATTGATGTGATGGGGTTGGGGGGGGGGGGGGGGGGATGGATCGTCTCTTGAAAAAAATCCCTATATGTGATACAGTGTGTGAGATTAACGACGTCTGTTGAGACTGTTTTTCTCCTCACTGAAGAGACTTTCGATGAGCCCAATTCACTTTACTGTTGTAAGTTGTACATGACTGGTACAGATTCCTCCTTGTGAAGTGGATAAAGTTTGTCCTTGTCAACTTTTGGGAACAAGTTTCGTTGAACTTGTATCTTGTGGGACAGGGAAGGGGGAACACGTGTTACATTCCTAGTACCCACCCAAACATAGTTACTTACAGTTTTTTGAAGAACGTTTTTCCATACATGATGCATTATGACAACAAAACCTAATTGAGATTTGTAACTTTTGTACTTTTTTTTATAGAATTTATCATATAACAAATATTCTGTGAAAAGAGAGCAGTTGTTGCTTTGAACAATCTTGATTGTGAGAGTGGTCTGATTGTCGTGCTACCTTGGGTTAAATAGAAATATTGTTGTGTGTAACAACAGGGACATAGTCACAAGTGCACATCATTTTCCCACCATGCACACAATTGATGGCACAAGACGACCATGACACTCGATGAAGTTCTGCCAGTTTTATCAAGGATTCATCAAATGTCAGGTTGCATGGAAGGAACTTGTCTGTTGGAGACACAGGACATCTCTGTGTATAGAGAATTTCTGTTAGAAATAGTGTAGACTATCCTATTTCGTGATGTTTTGGGTAGGCTTTGACTTCCCAAGAAGGAGATTGACCTTTGTGTACAAACTGATGGCCTGACAAGCGTGTACAATTCAAGGATACGCTTCATAGTTTCAAGTGGCGAAGATCAAAGCTGATGGCAGATTGCAGTAGACAATATTGTCGCTTTGTATAGTTCACTTTATAGTGCAAATAAAAAAGCTGTAGAAGAAATATGAATGTAAGAAGTGATGCTTGAAGAATCCGATAAGGATACTAAATATAATAAAGGTTGTTGTGATAACTTACAGAAAGTGTTAAGCCCCACAGTGTGAAATGATGATCTCACTAACTCGTTTTTGCCTTTAGTAGAATTCATGACAGTCTTCACACAGGTTTCATTTTGATCTTTATATCTCTTCATATAGATGCCTGTAGTCTTACATCCAGAATTAAAATGTTGTATCCCTTTCACACCACTCTTCATGACCCTACACACTGCTGGGCAGAGAGGTAGATCATTTTGCTCTCACAACTATTATGTTCTGCCCTTTGTTATGTGTAATAAACAAGAAAAGGCTGTGTGAATTTGGATAAATTAAATAATGAGGGCAGGCACACTATAATGTCTTGAGTGTATTAAGATTTTGCTAGTCTTCTATTCGAAGATTTGAGCATATTTTTTAAAAAGCATTTCTTAGACAAGGCACAGAGATGTGAATAAGGCAGGGAGTCATGTTTATGAGTGCACACTCTGATGACTGCCCGCTGTAAAAATGTTAGTATTGTTAGAGAGAGACTTCACGTGATAACTCTATTGACTGTCATTATGTGCACAAATTTTTTTTCTCAGATTTCACCAATCTATTGTCTATTTCAAATTGATGCCATAAAAAGTTGGAAGCTTTGAATTAAGTGAACTTCACCTTCATTTTTGTGTCTGCTGGAAACGACACCCAGAAACATGGTCACCAAAACAGAAAATTCCTTACAATGTGCTATCAAACACTGTTGTTTACTGCATATTGTACTCTGTACCTTGTTCTCACATTCCAAGTTGTGCTAATAAAATGTCAGTTGTTTTATCACCAGTCTTATTTACTTGTGTGCTAAGGGATGTACAAGGTTGGTTGAAACTCACAAAGTCTGAAAAATGGAATTTTATTTTAATAGAAGCATAGGTAAAACTGATCAAATTTCATTCTGGACACAAAAATGTACAAGTGACAGGAACACTTGAGGTGGAAAATTCTTCAAGAACAACTGGACCTCTCACTATAACTCAATTCTTTGGGGGGGGGGGGGGGGGGGAAGTAAACGAAAAGGCAATAAAAATATGTAGATTTTGACTTTTTTAAAGATTTCCAGACAGACATGTCCAACATCTATGAAAGAGAGTAATTGGACACTTGACAAATAAAACAATGTAAATTTAGACATAAGTTATGTGATACATTCAAACACCCGGTTGTCTCTAACATATACCCCAAGAAAAAAAAGCCTCCTATGCTGAAGGGAGGTTGACATAAATTGTGACATATACCTCAGACACCTGCTAAAACAAATCAGACTGAGCCAAGCCAAGAGCATAGACCAAGGAAGCCGATAAAACTCGACAAATAGAATCTCTCAAAAAAGAATGCGTAAACCAAAAAAACATAAGGGGCAAAAATATTGTAAAGGTACCCAATATTCAGCAGGACCAGAGCTTATTACAAAAAATAGAAAAAGACGTTTCTCATTGTCTCTGATTAGTGACCAGTACCATTGAGAGAGGAGGCTAGCACTACAGAACTCCACCTTGGTATCATATGAGCGCATCAAAAGTGAAAATGGACTAGCGGGAATCACCCGTTGTAAAAAAAATACAATTGGAGTATAACAAATATCTGGACAAACTATAAAGAATGGAGACCAATAGGTTGAAGTTAGTTTAACGTCCCTATCAACACTATTACGTAAATTAAGAGGCGGGACCTCTGAGTTTTTTGTCCATATCTGCGAAAGGACAGAGCCAAATCGGAAATTCCTGTAAAGTGTCTTTCCCAAGGACACATTGTTGGACCGAGCTAAGGCTTGAACGAACCCAGAACCCATAATCTCATGGTAACAAGTCTAGTAGCCTAACCACTAGGCTACTGATGCCACTACTAACAATATCATATTCTCATCTGATGCAATGCAGAAATTAACATGGAGATCTATGTCAGAACAGCTCGTTTTAACACCAAAATTTGGTGATATTGCAAAACCAATTTAGTCCATCATTTTGGCCCCAGACTGAAACAGCTCCAAACCAAAGTGTAACTGGTGAGGTGAGATTTTCCCAATTTACCAACACCACATACACTTACACAACAAAAAGCACATAACTGATTTATGTGAAGAAATACCTCTGGATTGCACAAAAGGAATATAACAGAAAAATTACACATCTAGGAAAATTATTGAGTTTGCTACTAATCAGTGGAACCATACTGTATCTGGGTACACTCCAACTAAAACACGCTGTAGCAGCAAAGTAAACACCAAAACAGAACATATAAAAGATGAGCATCTCCACCACCCAACTGACAAAAAAATCAGAAATACACTCTTGGCTGTGTAATGGAATTTTCAACAAATGTGCAATTTTTCTATGTCTTAAGAGGCCCGTCCTCAGCGGAGTGCTGATTTCTTTACTGAAGCACCAATGACACACAGCCCCTGAACAAACACACTGATGGCCTCACCAACTAAATACTTTTTATACGAGGAAAGAAATCTGGTTTTCTCAAAACTGGTGGCAAGAAATAGATCCTTTGATCACAAGACTGCTTACCACATATTTGAATTGGTTTGATCTGGTGTAAAATGGGATGTCCTCGCTTTGTATTTAAATGATAAAGACATCCTAAAAAAAAGGGAAAAAAAGAGGGAAAATTTCACAGACTCTGCAACGGCCAATACAACAAAAAATCATCAGAGAAAAGTTCCTACCATTCTCTAGTAGCATGCAAGGCATTGTTTGGTTGCATAACAATCCTCCCAAAAAAGAAAATCAAAATCATTCATGACAAAAAAAGGAGGTTACTTTTGTTTTATCGCAAAACTGTCAGTTTGACTCATAAACAAATGATGTGCAAAACAATATAAATGCACAGGACAAAAAAAACCAACAACATTGTTTCATCACATGAGTACAGTAAAAGTTATAAAAATTGACATATATCTATTTTTGGAGAAGAACAATAATAACTGAACCCACTGAAGGAGAACAAGAGATAGAGAACTTTCCTCTCCATAATATTCTCTCTCATAAAAACATGTCTACTGAACAATCAGATTCTATTTTAAGACTGTTGAGCAGAAAGGCAATCAGTGATTCCCTCCACAAAAGACTTTTCTTATTTATGAACAGAGCAAGAAAAGTGCATCAAGTAGAGTATGTTCTAAAAACAAACAAAAAATACTTATTATTTTCAGAAATGTAGTACCATAACACAAAAATGATAACAAATAGAACTGGCAGAACAACAAAAACATCTACAAACTGAAATTTAAAAAAAAAAGTATACCAAGGCCACATTGCAATAGATTTGAGTCATTCATTCTATTTCATTCTTCATTCATCACATGAAAACAACAGCCATGCAATAACAAAAAAACTGGCACCTCATGTAATAAATAGCCATAGAACTCCCAGCGGACCAACTACGAAAAAAAATATTTTTAATTGAAAGGGCGCCTCCCTAACCAATTTAACAGCATTACACTTGAAATGTTTTATGGCAACAAAGAAATATAAGAGTATCTGTCAAACCATTATAACACATGTAGGACAAGTCACAAACAAGTCTATAACAAAGATAGTACATAACAAGATGGGCCACTCAGCCAAAAAAGTGTCCGCCAGAAGTCCGCTCTTTGCTTCAGAGTTTTAGTTTTTTTTTATTTTAATGACCTCTCGCCTTTCATTCTAAAGTCAAATTAAACGAAGAAAACCTCCGGAAGAGGTTTTTTGTCAGCGTAATCATTTTAAAAAAGCGTTCTTCCGAAATTTATCCAAAAACTTGCTAGTTTCACTTTGATTTTTTAAACTCAAGTAGGGTAACTCTGTTCGCAAAGGGTGCACATTTGCGGAGAGGGCGCCACCGAATTTTGAGGACACTTTTTTAATTGGTTCAAAGAGAGGAGTGGCCCCTCTTGTTATGTAGACTCTTTGTCTATAAATAAGGAAAGGTGTTGCTCAAACCACAGAATTCCCACAAGACAGTTGTGAAAAGTCAGTGCCTAATTCGTCCCCTCTCTCACGGGACAACACTATCCACAAGTCCACAAGTTTACAGAACAGTTGAAAGGGCATTTGTCAAAAGAAAAATACTGAGAAGTATGAACAGTCACGTGTATAAAAGATCCATTCCCAGTCATATCATTTTGTAAACTCTTTAGTAAATTAATAGATGGCAAAAAAAAATCAAGGACAAAAGATCTTGTTTGTTAGTAAAAGTCTTTAGAAATCCAGCTTTAAAAAGCAGACAAAAACCAAAAGCACTGGGTCCAGCAACGATCTTAGTAGCGCAAAAAAATGGCCAATGTTTGGTTGGTAAAATGCCGCTCAAAGAATCCAGTGACCATAGTTCCTCATAGAATATTCTGCAACACTTTCATCTGGCCAAAAGTCAAGTGAGGAATAGAATGAATCAGCAGCAAATAAACCATGGCATTCAATGGTGTCAGGCACAGATGGGCCATCTCACACGAGGTTTGTTTCACAGGAACGATTCAAAATGGTTTATTTCAATAAATAAAGACCGATTCAACTGAAAATTGGCACACATTAAAAAAAAATAATTAAAAAACCTCCATGTGTAACTTCATATAGATGGTGTATCTGACCCTGCTTAACCCTTAAAGCCCTGAATTCTTTTTTTTCCTACCTCCCTAGAATCCTGAATTAAACTGGAGATACTAGAAAAAATTAGGTTGGTTCATTGTTTTATTTACTGTGTCTTTAATTGTTGTTAGATTTTACTGAAGTTTGAAAATGTTATTTAAATATGAATGCTCAGTCTGAACAAAAGGGGAAAAGGTTAAAACAATGGTTTTTAGGACCAACTCTATGAGTTAAGTCTTGTGTGTGATCTCTGACTCCACTTCAGTCAAAGTATCATTAGACCCAGCCGTAGATCTAGCCTCAGGTAGCTTTAGTGGTGATCCCCTGCCAATTCCACTATTGACAAAATCATCATCGATGTTATGCGGAACATTGCAATCGTCTTGAACGGTCATATTTATCCATATATCCGACTGGGAGATCATTATTGGGGTCTGGTTCAGGATCAAAGATGTCTAAAAACTCGCCAAATTTCCTAACTTTCGGTGTAGAACTTCTCTCATTACATTATCGGTACTTTCTGCTCGCAACAGAGTCATCTGAAGTTACATCCCCTGTTTCTAGCACTAGGAATTAAACGATAAAGTCGACCAGCGGTTACCAGCGGTATAGGAAAATACGGCGTGAGCGGTTACCAGCGGTATAGGATTTTAAGGGTTAAGAACACACTATAAAAAATCAGGTTTTAGACAATTTCGGAGTGGGCCCATTTATGTCCAACACCAATAACATACAAGGGACAACTCAGCTGCTGTGTGTAGCCTCACCGCCCCACACGTACCAACGAAAGAACACAATACTCGCCAAGACACTGCACACAAAAGCAGATGTGATTCTATGGCTGTTGTCACCCTTACCCACTGAGAAAAAATGAAGGTATTGAGGACTGAAAAAAAAATATATCAATAAATAATAGACAAATCAGTCATGTTACAACATAGGATCTTAGCCTGCATATATTTTGATTAACTAGCTTGCAAGTTCTCCACACACACAGCGATGCCCATGCCCCCTCCCACACAGAGAGCAGCCACACCCTTCCTCTTGTTCTGTGACCGCAATGCATACAGGAGTGTTGTGAGGATCCGGGCACCTGATGCACCAATGGGATGTCCGATAGCGATAGCGCCACCATACACATTCACCTAGAGACAACAAAAAAAATCTTCATCAATCAAGTCTCTGCTTCAAGCCAGGTGTTAGTAGAACTCTTATGTTCATGATGCTGTGCATATTATCATCCGTTGAGCTGTGATAGTATGAATCTCTGCTTATGTGTTATCTTAAATCTAAAGAGTATATGTAACAAGGTCATTCGCTTGTATTTTGTGTTACAATGAAGATATTGTTAAATACCAAGAGCTATATTGTTCAGGACTGGGTGCTATAGAAATTATCTGCATTATAATTATCATTAATAAATAAATAGAATCACTGATCAAAGAAAACAATTCTGCAAGGTATATAATACTTTTTTTCCATTCTTACAACAGAATTCAAACTTGTTTCAGAACACAGATGAAAAAAAGAAACAATTTCAAAATTTTAAAAATAAAACAATGATAAGAATTGAAAAAGAGAAACTTTTAATTCAAACATGATCACCATTAATTTTTCAACTCTAGATCACAATCTGATAAGAGGCATTAGACTAATGACATTTTTCAAATTTTGTAAAAACAAAATTCATACAAAGTAATCTTCAATTCATGTTGAAACAGAAGATGTTATTTTCTTTTTGGGAGAGGGGTACAGGGTTGGGAGTGAGGATAGACAAGCAAGCGGTGTGTGTGTTCAAATCAGTAGATCTGGAAACATATATCCATCTATCACACAACATTTTCAGGACCCAAAATGCTTTGTAATTCAATTCTTTTACAAAATCAAATAGCTTGCAGGAGAAAAAAAGACCCATACATGACAACTGTGAGTGAGATTACCTTTTCCGGGTCACAGCCCAAGTCTTTGACCACTGCAAGTGACTGCGCCGCGAAGGCTTCGTTCAGCTCAAATAGATCAACATCTGACACTTGCCAGCCAGCGTTCTCCAGCTGAAGTCAGACAAACAGACAAAACAGCAAGTTCATTTACAGAAACTAATATCTCCATTCTTTTATGATTTTATCATAATAGATCTCCATTCTTTTATGATTTTATCATAATAGATCTCCATTCTTTTATGATTTTATCATAATAGATCTCCATTCTTTTATGATTTTATCATAATAGATCTCCATTCTTTTATGATTTTATCATAATAGATCTCCATTCTTTTATGATTTTATCATAATAGATCTCCATTCTTTTATGATTTTATCATAATAGATCTCCATTCTTTTATGATTTTATCCATTAAAGTTTTCTTTTCTTTATCTTTTTACAAACTCAAAGTAAAACATACGTGCTATTGCATCAAGAATGTTTGCCACCTGAGAGCAGAACAGGGAAGAATAGAATGGACCTTGGTGCAACTGCAAAACTGTCCAATGTTTTCTGGGACTTAAAAAAACCACTTAGAACTTGCAGCTAGGTTAAAATTCTCAGATCATAGCAGCACCACAGACAACAAATTATCCTCAGGTCTGCCTACTTTAACTTTGAGTGAGGAAAACCACATCATTACAATACAGGTCATTAACAACAAAAAAAAAAAGCAAGACAGAAATAACGGGGGGGGGGGGGGGAGAAAGAGACCGAACCTAAGCCTACTGGCTTCCTCAAATCATCTAATTGTGATAACATTAACATAACTGTAGTCTCTTATATGCTCTCAGCAAGACCTCAGCCTCACAAATTGAAGACATTTGAACAAGGCACAGCCTCAGACATTCATGGGTATGTCTGGATGTACTTTGAAAGAGGTGAGGTGAATTTAGCAAGAGGTGAGGTGGGATGTATTGAATTATTCACTACCTTTGTTCTTTTTTGCAAACCATGTCAATTCCTTCAAAGTCAAGCCATTTTCTGATGTAGCCATATCACAGATACGGGCATCTGTGGTCTTGTCTCTTCATGCTACAGTATAATAGTTAGAACCTGTGCTGTAGTATGCAGAGGATGTGAGTTCAATTTCCTAAAATAAAAGTTTCTGCCTCAGGTATCTTCCTCTGTCTGTTGGGCTGTTATATCTCATACAGCCCACATTAGCCCTTACAGGCAAGTTAGAAGCATTCCTCCTCCTACAAGACCTAATTGTGTCGATGAGGGCATAAAACATTTCAATAATTCCAATCATGACACAGATAAATCTATCTAGAGGCCCTTAGCAAGACTTCAATCCGTTTCTGCAGCATACAGCTGCCTTTACAAGTTTTTAATTATTAAAAGTTTTATCTTAGTATTTTAAGAGAAAAAGCAACATTATGGGACAAAGTAGGAAACACCTACACTCACAACAGCATCAAGTACACATGATTATCATCACAAACACAAAACCACGTAAATCTATCAGAGCGACAGCAATTCCAGTACAAAGAATCAGCCAAAAGAGCAGTTACTCCCAATCAACATTTTAACATTCAACTACAAATTCTTGTATTCTAATTGAACATTCTTTTCTTCAAGTGTCTGATCTGAAACAAACATTGAAGATCATGGTTCACCATTCATTTCTCTGATCTGATGCTCTCAAAAAAGGTATAATATCTTGGCTTTTTTCCTTCAACGGTCTGTTCTAGTTCTCTTGTAAGTTACTCTTAGTCTACCTCTGCCCCTTTTGCCATTAAATTGCAAATGAAAGCAAGAGGTATGAGGCCTTTCTGTCAATTCAAGCATCGTACATATATCTTTCCCTATTCATTTTACTGGTGAGAGCCCATGTTAGCTTCTTTCAGTACTTTTTAAATTCTGATCAAACAGAACTATGCCCTCTCAAAAATAGCAAAGCTCTCTTGACTCTTCTCTCCCCTTCCCTATTACTCACAGCCTTCCTGGTGGCGGGGATGGGCCCGGTGCCCATGATGGAGGGATCCACACCCGCCTGGGCCCACGACACGATGCGGGCCAGAGGTTTGAGCCCACGGCTCTCTGCCTCTGTCTTGCTGGTGATCACAACAGCCGCTGCTCCGTCATTGATACCTGGATAACAACAAAATTGTACAAGTTTTATGGCCCAATCAACACAAGTCTGACCATTTAGGACGTGGCATGCTTTGACCTTGCCTGAGATGGCCAACTCAAGTGGAGAATGATACTACATCTGAACAGACAGACCTGAGATATTTGATTTTTTTATAAACCCCCAAAAAATGCTTTCCCACTCATGAGCTGAACTTGTGTCTTCTGCATGCGACAATAAAGAGGCCTAACTGTTACAATACAGACAGCAGTCCAACTTTACGTGTGTGTCTCAGAACTTGGTTAAAAAAAAAGAGCGACTGCACAGTTTCAACGTCATGAACTGTAAAATACAGCGACAAAAAAGTTTGTAATTGAATGGAGTTTCTAAAGACCAGAATAATAAAAATTAAAATTTTGAACATAAATTGTATTTGTATAGCGCATATTCCTGCTCAACAGCAAGCTCTATGTGCTTTTTAACTCCAGCAGATTCTAGAACACTCAGAAACATTCTCAGCTTTCCAGGAAACATACACCCAGCAGCCGATAAAGTTACCAAACACAAACGAACTGACAAATCTTTCACCGTCTATAATCAGGTACCCTTGCCTAACTGGGTGAAGTGAGGAAAATTCGTGTATGCCTTCCCAAGGACACAACATCAGTCCCTGACAGGGAGCAAACCCACAACCTCTCAGCTGTGAGCCTGACAGCCTAACCACTTCATAATCAACAATCTGAAGTAGATCAAGAAGTAGGACAGAGAAAATAATGCCTGACTGTGCTGCTTGCCAACACATTGCTGAGAAAACAAAGATGTTCAGTGAGTAATTGTGCAGACCAAGCCATGTACTTCCAGGTACACGAAGCTCATGTGATCTCACTATAACAAAAACATGCTACATTTTCTCAGGAATGTAACTTTCACTTGAGGAGCAGATACAGAGAACTCTGACAGTTATCTCAACGGCTAGGAAAATACTGTTCTCCCATCACTGCTGTAGTCTACTCAAACATTCAGCCGAGAAGGGATTCTATTGTGTGGACCTGATGTATCAAAGGAAAGCTCTGAGTAAGAAGGTCACAGAAAACAACAAAAGCACGGCTGTAAGATGACAAAAACGCATTTTTTCATTTGTAACGCCAATTTTTACAAAATTTCCTTAATCAATAGCCTGATCAGTTACCCTGCTTGAGTGAAAAGTCAAAGTGAAGCTGTGGCTGGTTTTTGAATAAATCAGAATTCAATTTCTGAAGAACGCACCTTTTTTAAATGGTTACGCTGACAAAACGTCTTTTTATCTTGAGACTGTGTACGGCAGAGCAAGTGTTACCTAGACAGAATGTGAAGGTTGCCTGTCTTTAGTCTAAGTCATGTAATTTGTGTCTACAGGAGATCAAGTTACTCCAGTGACAATTGTAATTATAAATGTTTTGCTTCCCAATCAGCTTAATTTAGATCATCTTAGAAGCTGCTTGCTTTGACTTTGCCTGTCACGGCAATGCAGGCTGAGAGGGAAACTGCATCCCTGGAGACGGATGGAGATACTCAACAAAAAAAAAAACTTCCTTGCAAGAGAATCAAACTTAGGGCCTTGTGCATGCAGAAGTAACTAGCCTAACTGCTACATCAAAGATGCCAATAATTACTCTGGTTACAAATGGTTCCCCCAGTACTGACCCCTGAGTGAACTAAAAGGCCATACTATCATATCATGAGCATCTATCAGTTCAAAGCATTATTGTTCATCTACAAAGATACCAAAACATGAGAAAAATCAAAGATACCTGAAGCATTGCCAGCAGTGACAGTTCCAGTCCCATCTTTTACAAATGCGGGTCGCAACTTTTGAAGACCTTCAATAGTACAACCAGCGCGAGGAAATTCATCTTTCTTCACTTCTGATGGCCCTGAGTATAGATCAATCCATATACTTATGAAAATTTTTTAAAATAAAACCTCATAATTTACAAAACTCTACAATAGATATCAAATTGGGGGTTTTCAAAGCAATCTACATACGGTCCAACAAAAGTCCTGTTTGCCTTCAAACAAACTTATTAATTTACCTTTATTTCTAAAGCCAATTTTCTGTAGTCATCAGAAAAACAGCAGTGTGAAGAAAGAAAACAACAACTCACACAGTACAAGTAAAATTTTTCATAAACACTTGTTACTAGTTGCATATGCAGATAACATAATGAAGGATGCCATTCGTCAATTTTTCATCTAGAATAGGAGACCAGCACAACGATTAATTAAAAGTAATATTACATCCATGCTACACCATCAATACTAAATGTCTAGAAATATTGATATGTCTGTATCTATCTATCCTCACATCTACATCATGATCAATAACAGTCTTCCAAAGCACAGGCATCATTATGAAAAGGAGTGTACGAATAATGTTCCATTGTTAAAGCAAAAGCTAAAGCATCAACCACATAAACAGGATGAGCCATAACCAAATTGAAGCACTTGTAAGTTCAGCATTATTTTTGCGTTTAAATCAGCACTTTTAACACTATGCCACTTCATCTCGCACCACTCGGTTTCTGCTTCTTTTTTATTTTTTAAATAGAGGTTTTACTGCGCTCGCAACTGCATAAGGTCATATGAGCGCCAGAAGATTAGAGCTGTTACAAGACAGTAACAAACATAAAAAAGAAGGAGGGGGAGATAACGACGATAGATGTTGGATAGGAAAGAAGAAGCAGCAAACCACACCAGAGCACCCGCCAACCGCCCACACTCGGTTTCTTTGGATTTTCCACAAAATATGATGGCAAAGTGTTAAAACTACTTCAATATACTCTTGGTAGTAAGGAGAAAAACATCAACACAAATACCGTGATTTACTACAGGGAAAGATCAACTGAGACAGAAATGAAAGAGGGGAAGAAAAGAAATAGGACATATCAGCAGCACCGCTCCAACTACCCACTGTATGGATACAAAAACATACAACAGTTGTGTGGGAACGCAAACAAACCTGCTCTTGACTGGACTACAACTGGAACAATTTCTGCATCAAACCTCCCATTTTTCTGAGCGTTTTCACACCGCTGTTGAGATGTCACAGCAAATCTGTCCTGTTCATCTCGAGGAATGTTCCACTGTTTAGCCACATTTTCAGCTGAAGGAAAAAAAAAGAAATGCAAACTATACATTAAAAAACTAGTTCCCATAATATTTACTTTGAAGTAATAAAACCAGTGTTCTTGACTATGTTTTAAGACTTCAAGCTAAATTATCTGATCCAGGTGCCTCAAACATTTTCCTCTAAATTTATATCACAGAATCTTGATAAACATATCCAAATAGGGAAACTCTGAAGGAATAAAAAACTGAAAAATCTCAACATGGAATAGACACCTCACAAAAAAAGAATGATTTATACTCTTTTTAAACCTTATGACCTTTTCACGTTTATTCAAATGAAGTCATCATTTTATACAACATGAAAAACAAATAAAAGGTTATACAAATACAATCAAAACTGTGTAAGACAGCCACCCATTTTTGAGAAAAACAGTGATTGTCTTGGTGCTATTTTGATATTTTAAAACCTTCAAGGGGGAAATAGGAAGTGGTCCTTTGTACGTGTGATCGTTTTGTACAGCCTGTACAGGTGGCCGCTAGAGCAGGTTGGACTGCACTTCTGTACAGTATTTTTCTATTATTGAACTGAATTGTCCATTGTGATAAATTGAGGACAATGTCTTGCATTATTAAAACAACATTAAAACAATAGAAAAGAAATGTAAAAAGACAAAAAGAAGAAAGAAAAGAAACCAAAAATTTTTTTTGTATATGTGTTTAAACAAAGGGGATGGACTGATGATGACATAAACTAGCAGGAAGAAATACTTTAAAAAAACAAAAAACAAATAGCAAGTAAATATCACAGCATGCACTCGTTCAAGATAGCATATGAGCCCCAATCACATAACCTACCAGTGATGCCCATGTGGTATTTGTTGAAGGCATCAGTCAGCCCATCACACATCATGGAGTCAGTCATGGTGGCATCCCCAAACTTCGTCCCACCACGGATATGAACACAGTGAGGAGCCTGCAGCAAAAAGATATGTTTGAGAGACAGAAAAACATAAAGATGGAAAGATAGTGAGGAAAGGAAAAATATACACAGATGTCCAATAGGCACCACCAACTATCAACAGTTCATAAGACTGGTGTTTGCTGGGAGAATTGCGTGATCACAGAACCAGCAAAGTTCCGATTTCATTAAAGAGAAAAAACCTAGAGTTTCAATTACAGCAATACCATAAGTTCCACTCGAGGCAAAAAAATGTTACTAGTTTATAACCTGGACTACGTACAACATTGGCTGCACCTCTTCTTTTTTGTTTTTTGCTTTGTTTTAGTAAGAGTTTTACGGCGCTCGAAACTGCATAAGGTTATAAAGAGTTTGTACCAGATCAGCATGTCCTCCTCACCTTACTCATACTCTCCTGCCCTCCAGCCACCACAATCTTGGCATCCCCAAGTCGCACGGCCTGAGCTCCCAGCACCACAGCCCGGAGCCCCGAGCCACACAGCATGTTGACGCCATGAGCGGGGACACTGAAGGGAATCCCTGCCTTCACAGATGCCTGGCGTGCTGGGTTCTGACCTTGTGCTGTGCACAATGAAAAAGCAACACTTCACAATGAAAGCAATTCTCTAAACTCAAAATATAATGAGCTTATATATATATGCTGGAGCTTTCTTTCGGTACAAAACCTGAAAGTGACAGACACATCACTAAAGTGGTCATTAAATCAAAACAAATGAAAACCTTTTTTGATAGCTTTTCATCTAATGAAAGAGTTTTAAGCATTTGTTGAGAATTTATAACATCGACGTCATCAAGGCATGTCACTGTTTTGTTTAGTTTTAGTAAGTGTTTTACGGCACTTGCAACATAATAAGGTCATATAAGTGCCCAAGATTAGAGGTGTTGCAAGAGAGTAACAAACACAAAAAAAGAAGGAGGAGAGATAAGGACGATAGATGTTTGATAGGGAAGAAGAAGCAAACCACACCAGAGCACCCGCCCAACAACCCACATTATGTGACTGTACCGCTGCCAGCGGCTCTAAAATCGGCACAGCGACTCTGACCACAAGCAGACAGCTGGAGATAAGGAATTAAGATTGGAATAAATAACAAAAGTAAACCAATAGCCCAACCTCTTTAGGACAATGCAGTCCAACAGCTACGGCAAGAGGTAAAAAATTCTTGTTTACAAAAAAGGAGTCACTGAATCATTTTAGGGGTAGGTTGGGGCAAATTCAACCAAGCGGCAACTTTTGCGAATCATTTGACGGCTGTGTCTTAGAATTTTATCACAGCCCACTTTCATTTGTCGTACATTTGATTTTATTTTAAAATACAATTTGTGCGTCCTAGGCTTCCTCTTGTTTTTATTTTCCAGCAAAAAGCTCCAGAAAACACCACCTGAGGTTCTGCGCTCTGTCGCCGCATACATTTTGCTCTTGAAGAAACAAAATGGTACCTCATCTGTCATTTACTTTCTTATACACCCCTCTTTTCTTGCCTGAAAATATTCAACAGATATGTGTAACGAAACTTTGGTATCCTTAGGTTCATTTCAGTCCATGCAGAATTAGAAATATTGATTATAAATATTATATATGAATTGAGGTGATCTATTTAAAATGATAGGGTGGGATTTTGGTGGCTGGTAACAGGGCGAAACGCGGCAACTTCTACAGGGGGAGGGCCAATTTTGATCTGACTCTGATACATTCGTTCCAGGCCAAGTCAAAATACCAGCTTATGAGCAAAATCACTTTGACAAACTATCCTATTTCAGTTTAATCCTGTCTGTATTACAATTATAATAATTGATCTGCCAGATACAAATAAGCAGAGATTTAGACTATGTAAACTTATCAACCATCCCATGTTAGCTAAGCTTAGTGTGCGTGTGTGTGTGCATGTATGTATGTATGTTAATGTTGTACATATACAATCATGTATGATTGAATGCGTGGCTGCGCAATCGGAGGGTTTGCAGAAGGGAAAGAGAAGGACAGGGAGGGAGAGAACAGACAGAGAATTCAGAGAAGAGTTGAGAGAGAGAGAGAGAGAGAGAGAGA